AATGTATTCTTGAGAACAAATATTCATGGAAAGCATTACGAATCGACCAAATTATTATTTGTTTATGTTAAATCTTTAAGGATCATCGAAACCTTTAAGGTTCATCAAGGCTTTAACGACCGACCACGACGTTCAAGACCAATGAAGACGTCGAGAGCAATCAATAGTTCAAGTCGCATCACGACTTCAAGACCGATCAAGTCTTTCAAGACCGACCAAGACTTTCGAGAGCAATCAAAACTTCAAGACGTATGAAGACTTCAAGACGTATCAAGATCGACTAAGCGTTTCAAACATTTCGGTGTAGAACAATTTGAAATGTGATCTAAAAAATCTGATCAAGAAATTGTGACATCTACTTAAAGCTATAGCCACATTTATTGTATACTGGCACGAGCTTATTATTACGTGTTCGTGGCCTTTTCCAACTGAGTTCGATCTCAAAACTCGGTTCAAAAACTGAGGAAAACAAAATTCCCTTTGATTTCCGAAGTCTAAGTCTGACTCTGCCGAATAATTATTTGAACTAAATGAAAGCTAAATGGAAATCAGTCCCGTTTCTTCTTGGTGGGCCTGATCCGAGAGAAAGACAATCAACGTCTCCGCCAGTATGCTACTCCCTGCACACTTGTTGCCCAGGACCCGGCCCCGACACCGACGCGTGCAATTATATGTATCATCTCGTATCCAAAACATTCAGAATAAAAGTACCGCTAACGACTTGACCAACAGCGATGCGATGCTGATTCGAAAGCAGATGTTACACATAGCCAGCCGACTCTGCAAATATCATAGCAATTTGCTACGTTGATTGAAGCCTGGACCAACTATGCGAGGGCGTATTCTGGTCTGACCTTTCCTTCCCGTCAGAATCAACCTCCTCGTGTAAATAACACGATTGTGATTACAGGACCGTGTCGCTCGATATATAAGATAAAATCTGGCGAAACTACCATCGAACCCGAAGAACGTTTAGGCTGTAACGAGGAAAATGTCAAATTCGTCGATGGAATGAGAAGGTCACGCGAAATCTAGAGTTCCAACGTGGAGGTATGCTCGTAAAAGGTCATTCCATGCGAAGTCGGGCATTGTTTGCGGTAACATTTCGGATTTTAGTGAAATATGCAGCGAGTAACTTTAATATTCGGACGCTCCACAATTTTCACTTTGTCTCTTTATAACTTCGTCTAGAATCCAGAATTCGTTTAAATCGTACATCGTCGCGAATGAAAATATATGCGAAAGGTTTTCCAAAAAGGGTTTTGGTACAGAAGTTCGATTTAGTACAGAATGATCCAAAAGCAGTCGCCAGAGAACAGCTTGTATTGTCTTTTCTCACGTCTGCTTTCTCAGCATAGAAGCATTTATTCCGTCGTAAGTTTCCACGGCTGACAGCAAGCAGGCGTTTCCTGATAAATTGTTGTGAATTATTTGAATAGAACGTTCAGCGTTATCAACTTTATTTGTCTGGATGGAAAGTGATACATTGAATCTTCGGATACCGCTGTGGGATTCATTAAATGTTGAGCTAACTCTTAATTGCAATCATGCAGTGTTTCACAATAATTACGCGTGGCTTTATAATTGGATCCAATTAAGGAAGAGTGGCCTAATACGTACGTATTACCTACATCGTACGTATTATCTACATATTTCTCTTCCTTTTCCATTCTTATTTTGATAACTAAGTTTAGTGGTGAGCATATGGGACAACTGAATAATTAAAACTATAGACAAATAATTACCACGTAATGTTTTATTCCGTGCGTAAAACATTTTTAAAATAGATATTTCAACCAAAGTTTCGGTTTCGGCAGGAGGCGAGCCGAATCTTCGACTGTATTTGCTGTTGGTAGCGCTACGAAACAAACGAAACATCGAAAATTGTAATTGAAATCACGGGATTCGTTACAGCGAAGTCGTCTGCTCGACGCTGAACCGACTCGGACGCTTATCTGCGTCGATCCAAAGTTCACTAACCTTAATATCGCACCAGCACGTCCCGAGGGAGACGAAACCAGTATTCCAGAGGCGAAAAAAAAGCGGTGATAGGAGTAGAAAGGGGTAGGAGGGTAAGCCAGATGGAAGAGGGAAACGAAGAATAGACCGGCATCAGCGGATCTACCAAACAGTCATGCGTTGTGGGCGAGGAGAGTGTGCCCAGAGAGAAAAGGCGGGAGAGGGCGCAGATTCCCTCGTTTCTTCCCGGGTGGTTCTATCCCACCTCCCTTTATCGATCCTCCTGTGGCAGCAGTAGCGCAGCATCGTCGGCAGGAATCACCGACGGTGTCCGTACAACCTCAGTGGGTACCCGGCCACTACGATGGCTGAACTGCTTCGATCGGTGGTTGCACGGTGCTTCACGCATTGCGTCACGTACTTGCGAGCCAGTTGCACGGCCACTCGCTGTGCTGGTGATCTCGCAACCGTGGATCACTGATTTCTAGAGCCCCCAACAAACTCGACCAATCGTTCGCCACTGGCCAGACGCATTGCTCCAATGTGAATATATTCATTGGAAATTAATTTCGCGTAACGTTGGAAAGTAGTTGCGGCGACTTTTTAAATATTTAATACTTTTCAATGATAGAATAAAAACTTCATATTCTTCTCACTTTAACGTGTTATCAAAGTTTGTATTTCTCCTTTGCATAGTATGTATGAAAACGATGGTCAGTGTAAGGAAACTTAACAATATTCTTCGACTTCGAATTGATTGGTGACTGAAATCACGAATTAGTCACTTACTGGTTGGTAATGATTTTGAACATTTTAAGAAAAAGCATCTACCGTATTGTGTAATATTACAGCAAAGTCATATTCTCGGGCATTCCTTGAACAAACATTGTACTTATTATTTAAACAACGACGGGGAATATGATCTTGCTGTGATATTAATGATTCACGAATTATTTTCTCGATGGATGCAACGAGCCTTCGAATCGACCGTAACGCGGTTGTTGTTCGCCCTTCCCTTTTTCTACAGGGTGTCCCAAAAGTCGGGGAGGAGCCGGAAATGAGGGATAGCTGAGACGATTCCGAACAACAATTTCCTTTGCAAAATTGTCGGATGGGGCTTCGTTAAGGAGATATTAAGAGAAAACCCCGACCAATCAGAGCGCGCGTAGACCGTTCGAGCGGCCGCGGTAGCGAAGGCTACGCGCTAGGCGGCAGCGTCAATGTCCTTCGATGCACGTCGAGTCACTTGTTCGCGTACAAGCGCGGCCCCCAGCGCGTAGCCTTCGCTACCGCGGCCGCTCCAACGGCATCCTCGCGCTCTGATTGGTCAGTGTTTTCCGTTAATATCTCCTTAACGAAGCCTCATCCGACATTGTTGCAAAGGAAATTGTTGTTCAGAATCGTTTCAGCTACCCCCCATTTCCGGCTCCTCCCCGACTTTTGGGACACCCTGTATATCGAAAGGCACAAGCGAACCACGGCTGCAACCCAACAAGTACGTGAGAGCTCATTCTTCGACGATCCTTCGATCGATATAAATCTCGCGATCGCGCGTCCGTGGCTCGTGTCCTTCCTATGTTTCCTTGATTATCGTAGTTTGGTATTGCTTGTGGGTACCTTAGTCTTGTTAGTTTTAAGGCATGCATGTACGAGTGTTTGTCCAGTGTCAAATAATTACTAATCATTTGTTCAATTCTTTTGTTTGTTCGTAGGCCCATATCGGACTCGCAATATCGTTCTTCACTTGGGTCACTATTGCTTCGTGTGATAAGTGAAGTGACCAACTGTGTAACTGGACAGAAAGGTCGGTTGCCGTCCTCCTGGTGGATCTGCGTTCGAGAGGAGGACAATCGACGCCTCCGGATCACTCCTCTACTCTCTGTACCACGTCTAGTGTAGTCTAGCGTAGTCCAGGCTCCTGACGCGATGCAGTAAGTCCAAAGAGGCGTGAAACGGGTGCAAGTCAGATCCTATCGTGGCTTCCGGCGGGGTCCGGGAAGTCTTTCTCTCAAGTCAGACCCATTAAGAAGAAACGGGACTGACTCGCAATTAATAAGTCCGTTACATGGTCGCGTTGTGTCGCGATTTCCATTTAGCTTCCATTTAGTTCAAATAATTATTTGACAGAGTCACACTTGGATTTTGCAAATCGAAGGGTGTTTTGTTTTCCTTTGATTTTCATCGTTTCGTACTTAGTAGTAAGCTCGTCGACTCTACGTAGCGTGTGCATCTCTATGTATACCTGTATATCCTGTATACTATGTATATCTAGTATACTATGTATAGTATACCTGTATACTATGTATATCTGTATGTATACTCTATGTAGAGGGAGGTCGAAAGAACTTTGATTCCTTGTATCTCCGGGTCTCCAATCGCAGCAACCTCCACGTGGTGAGACCGTGGTAATCGGTATTATTTGTGACGAACAAATGTAAAGTGTAATGTGTAAAGCGTAAAGTGTAAAGTGAGATTAGATTTAGCAGCTAATAACACAAAGGTACGTATTATATACCTATAATACATTACTTATGTATTGCATTATTACATGACTTGCGTATTACAAATGTTGGTATTCAATTCTTCAGTAATATATCCCGAGAATGTTTCCACATTTAAACATTTTTATTCCAATTCCATAAGTGAAAATACCGAAGCAACCGTCGAACGTGGTTCGTTCGGAACGTAAACGCGTTCGTCTCGGAAACTGAAACGATTCGAAACTGTATTTTTTTATTTTCGTAATAAAGACACACTCTAAACACAATACCGGTAAACAATTTTGCTTTTTCAAGTTTCCGATTTTCGCACGTCTTGCGTTTTCCCAATTGTAATTCGAAATGTTTAAAGTTCGAAAGTTCCAACCTGCCGGAGTTAAAACACAAATAATTTTTCTTGAATTCGAGAGTAATTAGATGGAAAAATAGCAATTACTCTCGAATGGAGCCACTGTCCCGACGCCTCTGCATAGATACAACCCTGCGGCCGTACGTGCGCCGTAGTCCCTACGTAGACCGCCAAAAAGCATCGAGGTCGAGCGGGTGGCGGCGAGTTCGGTCGACGGGGGCCGGAAATGGCCGGTCTGGCACGAACGCTTGCGAGCCAGGGCTCTTGCGCGGTTTGCCCTGCTGCAGGCGCGCAGTGCAGCCGCCGGTATACCGCCAACACAGTCGCGGCTCGGCGATGTTTCAGCTGAGCTGAGCGCACGAGGGACGCTCGTGTCGCCGGCGCAGGCGGTTTTCTTTCGGTGCTTTCTCCTCGTACTTGTCAATTTCTATCCAGGTTCTGTCGTTCGTCCCTGTTCCCTGCCCTCCCTCCGACGAGCCACGCGCGATATCACAAGTACCGTCGAGGAGCCAGCAACGACGACGTAAGTGCATTGTGATGATCATAGTGTTACCTAGTTGCTAGTTCCGAGTGCGAGACGTCGAGCAAACGATCGAAGGTTCCGGTTGACGCTCGTCGAGGATCAACTATGACTTCTCTGTAGGAGCTTTCGCGTACGAGGTTGTGCACTGGTTCTGTGAAAACGGAAAAGCTACGTGTGCCAATCGCGATGCAGGTTCGCCGATGAGACTCGTCAATGACAAGGAACGTATCGCTGACGGTTCACGGTGTTTAGAGAAGTTGGCGGTTTTCGTTCGATTGTGTATGCGCTGGTGTCACTGTCGAGTCCGCAACGAGTGTTTACGCGCGCTGTCAAATCCTCGCTGTTGTCCTCGTTTTGTTCTCGACAGTGGACGACGTTTCAGCTTCGTCGAACGAATTCTTATAAAATCGAATTGATACGAAGTAACGGACCCTCGCTCCGGCGAGTAATTAAACTCGAAGCAACGGCGTTAGAAACTTTGTATTGTACATTGTTAGGAGGCAATTGATCATTGCGATCGGGAATCGCTTACGTTATAGTAAAGGCATTGAATTTCCATACCCTGTAAAGCCGTATAACGCAATCATTTACGATCGTTGAAATAACGAGAAAGAATTGCTCTATGTGCACAGCGACGTGCAATAATTCTCTTTGCGAGCACGTAGTGTTATACTTCCGATTATTTAATAAACTTGAAAGTCGCGGTGGGACGATCTGGCCATTCGTTTACGTGTCTGTTTCGTTATAAAGGTCGTCGTTGTATCGTAGCATTAAGCATGAAAACGAAACTGCACGTTGTCCTTTCAAAGTTATACGTTCAATGAGTTGTAGCGATATCATAACGAGCCTACGGAGCTGTACACGATTCAAGAGTGACGACCACTTTTTTTTTTTTATTCGATCTACGTGTCAACAGTTCACTGTTTTGAAATTCTTTCGAATCAGAACTACGAACATCGCGGCGTTCACTTTCGCGATGAATCGAAACTATAAAAATCGAATGGTACCGTGTTATCAGTCACGACGTCAGGCTTCGCGCGGAGTCACGTGAGAATGAGGAAAGAGCGGGAAGATCGATCCGAATCGTGCAACACGGCAATCGAACGGTACCGAACAACAGAAAACAGCATAAAAATAGAAGCCAGCAGGACGTGTACTTGGCCGTAGCCTATCCGGTACGATGTTATCCTGCCGCGTTGGATGTCCTTGTTCTTGCGACCGCTATTGCGACATGTCAAGGCAAAACGCATACGTACGTGTAATATTAGATCGGTACGATAGTTCTCGCGGTAATAGCGTAATAATTTCCCCGAACGTCATACTACCGTTCTCACCACGACTCTGCCTTATCGAACCACGCTTCCTGCTTGATTCAGTCACTTCCTCGAGACACTTTCGATTATGATACTTCATCTACCACCTGTCCTAATTTAACAGACACGTGTTTGCTAGGGATGTTACGCGCTCACGATAGAACTGCTCGTGTATTTGATTGATGGAACAAATTAGGCTTCACCTTTCCGTACCTACGATTATCACGCGTAACAGTTTTTCGTTTGGCCGGGCCCTCGAGCAGACAAAATACGTGTAAACGACCTTGCCCTTGGTAGAAACGCGATGAATCCCCGAGGTGGTGCACGTTTTCACAGTGTCGAGTGCGGAGGGTACAACAACGAGTCGATATATTGATTCATTTCCGATAATATATTACCTCCCAAGGTGATAACGCGTGCACGGGTATGTGTGTCGTCTACGCACCATGCAATCCTACCGCGACGTCGTCTTTCATCCGACGTTATCGGACTTTCTGTCTACCGGTAGAAACCCTCGATGTCGCGTTTTTAGGGCGAATTTTGCATCTACGGTTTAATTGGCGCATTAAACGATGTTCGATCCGCTCGATGCGCGGCTATCGTATACCACGAATCAAAGCGGCGGGGCAGTCTTCAACGTTGTGCCTCGCTTCGATACGACATCATCTTGACTCGCGATATCGTTTAATTTGTCGACGAAAAGAGTAACATTTCTGATGCATAATTTTCTATGTTTACCAGCGAACAGGTAAACCTCTGCAAACACCGAGACGAGGTATACGGAGAAACCTAGTATATGATATTAGATATTCAAAACCTGGTACAGATATGATTAATAGTTCGCTTTGATTCGCGATCGTAGACTCGGGTTGATTCTCCTCGGTGTGCATCGGTATGAATTTCACTAGCGTGTCAACGTCAATTCCCCATAGTATTCGCATTGGTTTTCTTTCGAGTCGCACGAAACTCGCCCACACGGAATGCTTCACGTGAAATTGAGAACGAGGACAGCAGCTCCGCCGACGTCTAATCGTTCGTTCTGAAGTGTTCGATCAGGAATCTCGACTGTTCTGACTCCCAGCTTAAAGAACTTGATCGCTGAGGTGCTTTCCCGTCAACTAATGACACTATGGCATCGTGAAACCGACACCACGTTGTTCGCAGACTACTAGTAACCGGATCGACCCCATCGTTACACCCTTTGGCGAACGCAACACAGACGCAATTGCATCTTCGTGTAGACTGCGCTGAGTGGAGGGTACACGACCCAGGCGCGGACGGCGATATAGAGCGAGCCGCGTGTATTTCTAGAGCAGCCGGTTAAGAATAGCACGGCAAATAGGCGGTTGAATTAAATATAGTCGGTGAACGACCGAGAAGTAGATTACGAAATTTCATTGAAGTCACGGAAGTCCGCTGGGCGACTCGACGTTGCGGAGGCCGTCTCTTTATTAGATTCCTGCCCCACGGAAAAGTCAACGATCAGTGGAGTAGTCCTACACCTCTCAGGGTTCGTCGCAAGTGGTGTATGATAACTTTGTTTTAAAAAGGGAAGAGTGTTGAAAGTCGTGATAGAGAACAGACTTCTGTAAAGTCCTTTGGACAATGGACGTAACGCGGAACTTTTTAATACGCGGTTTCTGTTTTTTTTTTTTTTTGAAGGCAAGCGATATCATCAAGAGTTTATAGGAGAGCCTTGTTCTTTCGAAGTACGATTCGTAATAAGTGTTGGAAGATGAGTCTACTAAAACTTTAAGATTGTTGATTACCTTGATAAGGAACTGGCTTCTGTAGAGTTCTATAAAAATTTAGGCATAACCTGAACCTCTTCGTTAGAACTCTGTTCGCTGAAAAGTCAAGTATCAATACGGCGGGCATGTTCTTTTCAGGCTGTTTGGTGTCGGATAAGCTTTTCGTAAAGAGACAATATCCAAACAGCGACTGCGAATCCCACTGTGAAGTTAGCATCTCGGTTCAGCATTCCATTTAAAAAAAATGTCGATAACCCTGACACAGCCTCGACGCCTGTACCAAAACAGAAAAAAAAATAGAAGCCTCGTTTTTATGGTCACTTTTGAAACTCGTAACTTTTACCTGAAAGGTCTTTCTGTTTCGATGATATTTTGGACTTTGTTGCTCCGTAACAACCAGGCCTCCTTGTTATTAAATCTCTGTTCTCTGGAAAGTCAAAGATCAGCAAAACAACACTGTCCTCTTAATGGCGGCTTTTGCAGGATGAACTTGCCTCGATGAGAAGATTGATGAGTATTTGGATAACGAACAGGTCTCTGTGAAACTCTTTGAACGAGGTGAACCTATATTCCAGTTCTGCAGTTGATATCATCTCCGTCGATGTCCCCGGATATGCTTTGCAGAGAGGTCATTACGAAGATAGTGTTCGTTGTACGAAGGTTCGTACTCATTTGGGTCGGAAGATCTCCTCGATATCGTTCGTTTATGGGCGGCAGGGCTCGCACAGAAATATCCTCGGGCTGGAATAATTGGCATCGGGTAAAAGCTCGGCCAACGGTACGTTTTCGTCGCAGTCATCTGCAACGGAAAGCTATTTCGTCGCAGATGTTCCCGTGCGACATTAACGAGGATTGTAAATATCGAAAAATGAGGAAGTGAAGCCACGCGCGGTATACGCTTGTGCCTTGTCCGACAACTCGCCCGCGCAGACAAGGAATTGTAAATAAAAACGATTTGATGGAAATCCAATACCCAATAGTCGTCTCTCGGTGACCTAAAATTCTCCGTTCATCCGTCGAAATCTAACAGAAGACTGAAATTCTTCGCGCTAGCGAGCAAACGGTTATCCACGCTTTTCAACTTTCTCCGTATTAGTTTTATCCGCACTTCGAAACCCTTGGAAAACTTTAGGTCTGAACCGGTGACTGCGCCGAGTATCGTTCTATTCTTCCGGAGCCTCTCGTACGAGAGAGATAACTCTACGGGCCAGCTTGACGAGCTACTTGCTTTGTCGTTCTACAGCCGAATGGTGAAGTTTCGCGAATTTATCTCGCGAAAGTTTGAACGCTATGCTACGAGTTGCGTCGTTTAAAACCGAGCAATTGTCCCGAAGAAGTGATCCATTGTGATACTTGGATACCACGTTTCTGTGAGAGACGCGTTCCGGGCAATCGGAACAGTGGCTGTGCTATTTCAATATCCTCAATGAAGCACAATATACCGGTGCGGGGCATTGTCTAATGCCGCAACAATCGGATATCGTGTCATTAATTAGTCCACACTGAAACGATTTCCTATTTGTCGTGTGTACGAAACGAATTTCAAAGAAAGATTCGATTACGATTAATCGAACTTTTCATATAGTCATCGGTTCGTTCGAGTATCTTCCCCGAACGAAATTGTTTTGTCATCTGTTCTCAGCCCGGATTAAAAAGATATCGATCTTGTCCAGGTGATCAATCATGCCGGCTGTACCAGCTGTGGCCGAGGCTGCCGAGCCGCTGGAAGACCTGGACGAACCACCAGAGCCACGGGTTCGAGGAGGCAGCGGACGTGCTGGCCTCATGAAGCCGTTGGTTGTCCTAGCACTTCCTGGCATGTACCTTTTCTACAAGTACAGCCAGTACAGACGGGAACAGCGTGAACTGTCGCGGAGAAGAGTCACCGAGAGGGAACTTCAGCATCTTCATCACAAAATCGTGAGTACCTGAAACCAATAAGAGTCGAAGCTTTTTTTTTTATTAAACTTTTATATTCTTAAAGGAGAGTTTTGCACTTGGTGACTGGATTGCTTAAATATTTAGTGATAGTACCGATACAGTACTATCTGTACTGTAGTGATAGTATTTTAATGTATTTAATTGTTCAGTGAAAATCCTTGTCATCCATATGTGGGTATCGTGGCAGTCAACGTGTTAAATAACCATTCCAAAAAACACAATGTCTATAAACGACTTAGGGGTTTTCTTTACAAGTTGAATTCGAGTATTAAATGCTTTTGTCACACGATGAAGTTTTCCTGCATAGTTGAAGTCTTCAAGGTTTCCTAACAGACTTGCTATTCACTTCACTCCACCTGTTGTGACTTCCAAACAGTTCTATATTTACAAAGAGATCAATTTGTCTATTCCTAGTTTTAGAAAATAAATGACAAAGATTCTGAATATTTCAACCCAAAACAGAATCAACCCTTTTACTACAGAGGTTACAAAAGCAAGAATTCCGAGAAACATATCGACTGTCTATAAACGCACTACGGGCTTTCTTTACAAGTTGAATTCTAAAATTAAACGCTATCGTCACAGGATGAAGCTTTCCCACACAGTGGCAATCTTGAAGGTCTCTTAACAGAATCGCTATTTGCTTCGCTCTTGTGTGCACTCGACATACGAGCAATTGTCTCGTTGCTTCCACCTGTTGTGACTTCCAAACAGTTCTATATTTACGAAGAAATCAATTTGTCTATCCCCTCTTCCCCAAAAAAGTGAATCCAACTGAATGGAGTACCGCTTACCGCGACTCATTATATTTTCATTGGAATCTCGCGGTATTTTCTAAAAGGTCAGTGAATAATGCACGTACATAGTACACGAATCGGGATGCCTGCCCGAAATATCAGGAGGGAATAAGAATTTTAAATGTCGGATTTTCCGATGTTACGTGCTCCTTTATAGCCATTCGTGTGCATCAATGGAGAGCTTATCAGTACGTTGAGAATAGCGCATGTAAGCTTTTCAGGTGCAACGATGACTATGATTATCTAGGGACGATAGCCGAGTCGAGACGATTGTCGAAGATACTATATTCCAGAAAACAGATGCGAAAGGATGAGGGTGTAGTAGAAAGAGCTAACGTAATGGTAGGGGAAGAAGGGTTCAATTACCTAAGGATAACGTGATCACCGCTCGCTAGAAAGACTCTGCATCAGCTCCTGAAGGGTAAAACCATTTATTCCTGTATACGTCAAGCCTTGTCGAGTACTCCCCTTAGCTTAGAAGGTCTTTTTGGTTTTACGCCCCTCGACATGCACCTTTTCGGGACGTTACGTTACCATTAATGAATTAATTCGGGTGCACTTCACAATACGCTTTATCGACTATGTATACAAGGTAAGACCGAATAACATATACAAGCGTGTATAGGGTGATTCCTTACGAAAAAGTAAAGAGAAAAGAAACAATGATATTTTACAATTTTTTTCTTACTTTTCGAGAAAAACAATTATGCAATTGTGATTAACACTAACACATGAACTAACACATGGTTCACCCAGCAATGTATAATGACTACTGACTAATTGCAAGTTTGTATGTATGTATGAGTGTCTGTACGTATACAAAAGTATTGTTACTGTATGGTGCCAATATTAAGTTGTATTATTAATGTATACAAACACTATGGGTATTATAAATCGGTCGGTGAACAATATCTTAGTTATTACTGCTAACGCAAAGAATAGATTTTCAAACTCGTTTTTCTCGAAAACTAAGTAAAAAATGATAAAATTTTCTTCTTACTTCTTTACGAGGATTCGTGTCTGTAGATAATATTCGGCCACACCCTATATAATTCTGTAATATTATTAGCCTATTTGCATCGTTTGACGTATGTACTAGCATCTCGTAGCCTAATTCTCAGATGACACGTATGGCTTATTGGTATGCACAGACTAGATGCCTCGTATACTTGTGGTCACTGAAATTTCAAGCAATGTTGACCTTCTCGAATCATAGATCGTTTCCTTTAAGTAAAAAATATTCGTCCAGTGTCTCGCGTTATGTAGGTTTCAACCAATTTAATTGGAGAAAGAAATAACGGTGCTTTTGTGTAATTTCTAATAATTACAGTCATATCTATCGACTTACTTTTAGATTTATAGTGCTTAAGATGAGTGGTACGAATTTTAGTCGCTCAAGGTCCTCGAGAAACTCAACTTTTCATTTGAACCATTTTGAAAAAATTCTGTTCTTGAAACAGCTTCAACTTCGTTAGTTTTAAGAGATTGAGCATAAGATTTTGTAGATATATTTTGAAACTGTATTTAAGAAAAAAAAAATAAAATCAATTTTTTCAACCAGAATACCATAGTAAACAGATTCGTTCTTTTAACTGGAGTCGTTTTAATCTTGAGCAAGAGTTACTCCTCTGAGCGCTCGTGTGCCGAATATTTACGACTAGAAACTCTGAATACGTATTGATTTTTGTACGCTCGACGTGCACCGGCTGACTTAGTTCTCTCCCCATTAGCGAGAGACTCTCTTCGCTTCGAGTTCGTATAGGAATGGCAATAGTGTGACGGTCTCAATCGCACGAATGGTGCTTGTCTAAATTAGATCGCGTAACATGATCAAGAGGCTATCATCGTACGCGCGAAAGGATAAAAGATTTCCTCCGATGTCAATGTTTTTACATGAATCGAATCGACATGAGTCGAATGTCGTCTCGTCTATCGATTGCCCAACTATTTCGTTGATGATTGTCTATATCCAGCAGCACAAGTTCGTTCCGACTGTATGTTAAATTCATGGTGTACCAAAGCACAAATCTTGAACTTCGCTAACTCAGTTTACCCATCACGCATCTCGTGGCTTTTCAAACCTCAAATTGTTGACAATAGTTTTCCTCACCGAGTTACCCACGTGCTGCTAACGCTAATTAAGGCACCACAGTCAAATAATCGAATCTCAAATTTCGACGTTTTGTCAGATAATTGGTTTATTTTAGGATTGCTCGGTTGCTCTTGTGTATCAGTGTCGAGATGGCATGTGATCCAATTTATTTCGTGTGCTTTTCACGCGGGATCGCCTTCGATTCCATTGAATTATATCAAGATGTGTCAGCGGGAGAAGCAATCGCTGGAGGGTCACCTTCAAACATCACCACTATCCCCTGTGGTTCAGTAGGTCAGCAAGAGGAGTTGGCTGAGCCCGCCAAAAACGAAAATGAAAAAAGCGTCCCCGTCAGGAAGCCTGCCAAGGAGCAGTATTCACGGCCGGTGGATCGAGGATTGGGGATAGCTCGGATACTTGGTACAGTTAGTATGGCCAACATTCGTGTCCTGCCGACTGGAATTTCTCGAATCCATTTACCTGCCGTCGCTCCTCTGATTTACGGTCCCTCCACGCGCGTCCTATTGGACCCTGGAAACTATGATACGACAGGGATATTCCAGCAGTTCTGATACTCGATTATCGCTAGCCGCGAATTCGTTTCCGCTAAATGTAATTACGATGATTCGGGATACTTCTTCTTTCCCGAAACCGTCGTCAGTTTGGACAGCGTAAATCGATCGAAACATTCCATGAACAACTGCAGACATTTCTTCTCGACACCTTTCATGCCACGTCAGAGACGTACGCGAAAAGCTGAACTTTCCATTCAAGCCATGTGTAAGATTCACAATGAAAGGGAAATTTTTAAAAAAATTTGTTGTGAAATCGTATGTTGAGATCTGAATACCGTGGTAAATGGAAGTTTGTATTAAGCGTCCCATGAATAAACTGTAAATAGAAAAATGTTTCGTTTCATCGTTTCCTAGAGCTAATATTTTTTAAGAAGTGATTTAACGAATACAAACATTTCTCTGAGCCCGTTTCTCGAGGGCGTATGTATACTCCTTTCTATTGTAAGGGATGCTTGGACTCGTTCGGATCATATCGGTACATAGTTATGGTAAAGTACTCGAATATTCATAATTAGACTGTAGATTTTATGCATTTATGACGTACAGTAACGTAGAAAACATACATAAAATATACATAATGTATGTCGAATGTATTCTACAATTAATACAATATAATATTGTTATTTCATTTTGCATAACTGCACATACCTTTTGGTTATGTTTAGCATGTGCTTGTTATATTGGTTTATATCATAAATACATAAAATCCGCAGTCTATTCATAATTTACCACGTAATAACGAGGTTTGGAACAGAAAAGTCAGCTGTTAGCCGTTTCCGAGACGTACCACACCCAGAAAAGTTCCATCGTGGCTGTTCAATTACGAAACTCAGCTGGCAAATCGAATGGTGGACCCGTGCTAACTCGCGTGTCGGTAAACGACCAACCAAAGCCTTGGAATTTTAAGACCTTATCATAGCCTAGTGATCTGTGACCTTAATAACAATACTGGGGGGTTCATTAATGACTGCAACGAATCACTAGGTCATCGAGGATATCGTTGGAGGCCCGGACTTCCTCGTTTTTAAAAATTTCATAAACGCTCTCGCGTGCGAATAAACGGTCGAATGTGAACTCGAAGTCCCAGGAGGATCGACGAGTACCCGGCCTTGCAAGTACGGTCACCCATATGTAGACCAATTTGCCTGCAAATTGACCAATCTGGAAACACAGTTCACGAGAATCCTCTTGGACGGCTGACAAAGTGCTGTCTTTCTGAATTATTCTGCGTACACGCGTGAACGTTTTTCAAAAAATTCAGAGGTCACTGATGGAACCTTGGCAGTAATACAGGTACACGAATGTAGGCAGGTAGAAGTTGCTGGAAACTCGAGTCCTTCTTGCTAGTTCGGAAACCTTCGTACCTTGTTATTAGACGCCGTAATAGATAAGGTGCACGCCACCTCTACGTTAAGATCTCCATCGCACGGTGTACGTGAACCTTAACGTCGTTCGTCTAGCCTGGCCAAATGCCTCTGTCGTACAAGAAAACGTTTCTTTCCATCGACCAACAAA